GGGCAGGACTGCCCAGACTAGGGCCATCCATTATTCACTGGGGAAAATGAATTTTTCCCGACTCTAGAAGCAGGAGTCAAGGGAGTTTTTTCTCTCGGATGAGGATGTCATTCTCACAAATTGACTTTGATTAAAGGTCAGCATAGCATGAAAGATTGTAACTGTAGGTTACATAGGTCCTTTAAAAATAGTAATGGAGGGGTTGGTGCATGGCATAACGGGTAAAATCGCTGCCTGCAGTGCCGACATCCCATAGAGGCGCTGGTTCGTGTCCTGGCTCTTCCACTTCCAATCTAGCTCCCTGCTATTGTATCTAGGAAAGCAGTGGAAGATGATTCAAGTCCTTGGGGTTCCTGAACCCATGTGGGAAACCCAAAAGAAGCTCCAGGTTCCTGGCTTCAGATCAGTCCAGTTCTGACCGATGCAGCCATCTGGGGAGTGAACCAGTGGATGGAAGAACTCTCTCTCTCTCTGCCTCTGCCTCTCTGTAATTCTGCCTTTCAAATAAATAAATAAATAAATACATCTTAAAAAAATAGTAATTGAAACTCCAAGTACAAAACGTTTCTGGTACAGAAAAAATAATTCAAGTTGAATCTGGCAATACTCTACTGTGCACTATCTCTGGCAGAACACACCTCTCTGAGAGTTTGGAATCATCCAGTATCCAGCCTCGGCCAGTCCCTGTCCCAAGTTGACATCCATGTTTTAGAAGTTGTTAACTTTCAACTGTGTTTCTACCCTCTATCACACTACTAAGACCAAACATCAGAATGAGAAGCCTTGCTGGGAATCTTAACTGAATTCCAAACTGCGGTCGGCAATGTGTCAGGCTCCACAAACATTTCCTCAGGGATGCTCAAGGATGGCTCAGGGGAGGCTATGCAGAAAGGGCTCTAGGTTCTGTCTCCACCGCAGCCCTCACCTGAGCCCAGCTGTGCATGGCTAGCACAGTGAGAGCGGCCCTCAGACTCGGGAAATCATCAAAACCTTTTTTTTATCTGACAGCTCCCAGGACAAGTACCAGTGTACATAATTATTGGGAACAGAGGAAAACATTACATGATACCAAATCCAGAATGTGAGAAACTGCAAAGCCAGTTCCTTCAGCAAAGAAACATAAGAAGATAGAGATAGGGGAAACATTCAGATTACCTAAGACTTAAGATATACTAGTAACTGCAGTATGTAAGACCTGGTTAGATCCTACTTTAAAAAACAAAAACAGGGGCTGGTGCTGTGGCCCAGCGGGTTAACGCCCTGGCCTGAAGCACCGGCATCCCATAAGGGTGCCGGTTCGAGACCCGGCTGCTCCACTTCCTGCCCAGCTCTCTGCTGTGGCCTGGGAAAGCAGCAGAAGATGGCCCATGTCCATGGGCCCCTGCACCCATGTGGGAGACCTGGAGGAATCTCCTGGCTTCGGATCGGCACAGTTCCAGCTGTTGCAGCCAATTGGGGAGTGAACCATCAGATGGAAGACCTCTCTCTCTCTCTCTCTCTCTGCCTCTCCTCTCTGTGCAACTCTGACTTTCAAATAAAATAAATAAATCTTTAAAAAAAAAACTTAAAAAAATAAAAAACAAAGATGAAAACAAAACCCAAACCTGAGGCAATCCATGAAATCTTAGACTTGTTAGTGGATGATATAAAATAATAAGTAACTTTTAGGTGCAGTAACACATTTTAAAAGTCACCTTCTTAAAGATACATTCTGAAAAACTTACAGATGAATTGATATGATATGGATTGGCTTCAAAGTAAAATATGTTGGGAGAGGAGAATAGGCAGAGGTATAGAAGAAATAAGACTAGACAAGAACTGTCATGGCTGAAGCTGGGGGATGTGCCCATGTGTTGGGGATTTTTGTATTCATCTATTTTTGTCTGAGCTCTTCCTTAATAAGAATTTTAAAAGGTTATGAACAGTGTGACTGACACAACTAAGTTTCTTTCTGCATGTTGGTTTTTTTCCTTTCTCTTTTCATCAGTGCTTATATGTTTTCGTAGCCGTGTAAGCCACTCTAAATTTTTTTTAACTTTTATTTAATGAATATAGATTTCCAAAGTACAGCTTATGGACTACATTGACTCCCCCCCACCCCCAATGACTTCCCTCCTACCCGCAACCCTCCCCTTTCCCGCTCTCTCTCCCCTTCCATTCTTATCAAGATTCATTTTCAATTTTCTTTATATACAGAAGATCAGTTTAGTATACATTAAATAAAGATTTCAACAGTTTGCACCCACATAGAAACACAAAGTGAAAAATACTGTTTGAGTACTCGTTATAGCATTAAATCTCAATGTACAGCACATTAAGGACAGAGATCCTACATGAGGAGTAAGTGCACAGTGACTCCTGTTGTTGACTCTACGAATTGACACTCCTGTTTATGGCATCAGTAATCTCCCTATGCTCCAGTCATGAGTTTCCAAGGCTATGGAAGCCTTTTGAGTTCACCGACTTTTATCTTATTTAGACAAGGTCACACTCAAAGTGGAAGTTCTCTCCTCCCTTCAGAGAAAGGTACCTCCTTCTTTGAAGACCTATTCTTTCCACTGGGATCTCACTCACAGAGCCACTCTAAATTTTTAAAGGATGAGAGAAAGTATAAACAAATAGATAGTTGCATGCTGCTTGGTTTGGATATGGTTTGGGTGCGTCCTCCAAAGGTTCATGTGTTGGAAGCCTGGTCCCTGGCACAGACAGAGTTGGAAGGTGGTGGAAGCTGGAAGAGGTGGAGCCTGGCAGGGGATGACTGGGTCATCGGGGAGCTGCCCTAGGAAGGAATTATTGTAGTTCTCGAGGGACTATAATACTACTGTTAATTGTTAGTCTATGAGAAGGTTGTTTTTTTTTAATATATTTTTTATTTTTTTTGACAGGCAGAGTTAGACAGTGAGAGAGAGACAGAGAGAAAGGTCTTCCTTTTCCTGTTGGTTCACCCCACAAGTGGCCACTACAGCTGGTGCATTGTGGCTGGTGTGCTGCGCTGATCCAAAGCCAGAAGCCAGGTAGGTGCTTCCTCCTGGTCTCCCATGCAGTTGCAGGGCCCAAGGACCTGGGCCATCCTCCACTGCACTCCCAGGCCACAGCAGAGAGCTGGACTGGAAGAGGAGCAACCGGGACAGAATTCGGTGCCCTGACGGGGACTAGAACCCGAGGTGCCGGCACCGCAGGTGGAGGATTAGCTTAGTGAGCTGCGGCACCAACCGAGAAGGTTGTTATCAAAGAGCAACACTGGCCCTGTCTTGCATGTGATCTCCCCCTGCCCCACCTGCTCCCACCATGATAGGATGCAGCCAAGGTGGGGGAGGGGGTGCTGAATAGAGCCAGCATCATACTGTCTGGACTTTCCACCTCCAAGGCTGCAAACTAAATAAGCCTCTTCTCTACAAGAGTACCTAGCCTCAGGCATTTTGTCATAGCAATGGAGAGTGTAATAATATAGCTACCTACCCAAATGGAAGCTTCAGTTTCAATTAATACGCTTAAAATTATTTTTCATTTTCTTTGAGAGGTGTGTAGTGTGTGTGTATGTGTATGTATGTGTGTGTGTGTGTGTGTGTGTGCCAAATGCCCACAACAGCCAGAGCTAGGCCAGGCAAAAGCCAGGAGCCCAGAACTCAATCTAGGTCTCTCATGTTGGCGGCAGCAACTCAAGTACTTGAGCTGTCACTACTGCCTCCCAGGATCTGTATCAGCAGGAAGTTGGGTCAGAATTGGGATAGCTGGACTTGAACCAGACACTCTAATATGGGATGCAGGCACCCAAGCATCTATTTAACCACTAAGCCAAAGCCCACCGCATCCTTTATTATGCGTTCTGAGGTGATTTAGTGACCTAATTTAGAATTTTGTGATTGCCCTTTTACCCTTTTGTTCATCTAACCTCCTACATTCTGGGTATTTCTCCCTGCTTCATCATCTTGATCACTGATGCATGGATAGATGGTTTACAGATAAGCTCTATCTGCCTGTTTGTGCCATTATGTATCTATATTACAGAGGTATTTATAATATACATAGAAAAGTCATATATGTATTATATACATAATTATGAATTATAGAGGTCTATATGTACATGGATAAACATAATTCATTCTACGGACCATCTACATACACATGTGATCTATGTAGACAGCGAGCTTTCGGTCTACGGAGACTATGGTCACACATTTGCACTGTAAGTCTGCTTCTGCTGCTTCCATTATTGATTTACTCTGGCAGTCTTGGCTTTACTTTACCACACGGTATTTTCATCTGTGTTCTTAACAGTTACAATGCACTCTTCTAACTTACTGAGACTATAAAGCAGCTGTCTAAGATTTCCTTCTTTCATTTAATAAGCCTACTTCAGGTAGATGATTTTCTCCCAAGCTCATCTTCATTTTTTCCCTTTCTTTTGCAAAATGTCTTAGAGTTTGCTCTTTTCTTTTTAGTCATTCTGAGCTCCAGTGGTTTTGGTCTTGAGAAATCACAGACCCCAAGCCCTTGCTCAGCATCCATCCGTACTTGAATTTTCACATTCGGAGTCGGAGGGCTGACTGTTGAGACAGGCTGAAGTCTGCCAGGATCTGGAGCCAGATGAAAGTTGGTGCTGTTCCTGTTCCCATTCCTGCCTTGTGAGGGTTGATTTACACAGAGAGACCCACCCAACGACAGGACTGAGTCACAAGACTCGGGGTGAATGTGGCAGTTCTAATCAGCGGCTATGAGCATTACCAGGTGAGCCACGGAAGCTTTCTGACGCTTTTGTTGAATGACACAATGCTAAATAAAACCGGGCCATATAAAGATAAAAGTAATGTTTTCTTACATGTATAGAATAAAAACCAAGTAAACAAGCAAATAAAACTATCTGAACTGCTCAGCTGAATCCAGATACCCAGTGTTTGTGCCGAGACAAGAGAAAGAGCGACCCCAGCAACTATCTGTGTCTCTGACACAGCCCTAGTGTTAAGGCGGTTTTACCGGTGGCAGGTGTAGAACATGCATACCAAAGTGAGACACTTCTGGGGAGTTGATCTTTTCCAGTATTAGCTTGATGACAAGTTCATCTGGAATGCTTTGACCACTGAACAGCATCGATTTCAACTAAGGACAGACACAGACATTGTATGTTACTCTATAATACATCTGTGACACAGGGCTTTTTTTGTAATTACAGTAAGTTTGAAATTTAGATTTGTTTACCATACTTCCTAATTCGTTTTCGACAGCAATGTATTCTTCCAAAACTGGTAATGCTAAAAATGAATTTGAAATATTAGCACAAACTGGTAATAGGATAGTCAAAATAAGAAACACTTTTGAACATCTCGTGACTGGTAACAAAAATTAACATCTGTAGGTAACTATGATATACGATACACATCCACACACATTATGTAGTTTAAAGACTAACCAAAACAGGAGCAGAAGAATCAAATTCATAGAGAAGTTGTCGCCGCCAGTTGCTGGCTGAAGACACTTGGGGAGCTAACTCCCTACACACCTCTGGGCCTGGGATGGATAGGCCCTGTGTAGTATACAAGAGATTGGAAGATGAGGTGGTGCATTTGAGAGTGGTTTGTAAGTTGTAAAGTATCACACAGAAGTGTACATTAGGGGCTGGCGCTGTGGTGTAGTAGGCTAAGCCTCTACCTGCAGTGCAGCATCCCTCATGGGTGCTGGTTTGAGTCCCGGCTGCTCCACTTCCAATCCAGCTCTCTGCTATGGCCTAGGAAAGCAGTAGAAGATGGCCCAAGTGCTTGGGCCCCTGCATCCACGTGGGAAACTTGGAAGAAGCTCCTGGCTCCTGGCTTCAGATTGGCTCAGCTCCAGCCGCTGCGGCTATTTGGGGAGTGAATCAGAGACCTCTCTCTCTCTCTCTCTCTCTCGCTCTCTCTCTCTGCCTCTCTGTAACTCTGCCTTTCAAATAAACAAATCTTTAAAGAAAGTGTACATCAGTGTATGAGTATTTGTTCAGAAACTTTTGGAGACATACAGTTATGTCCAGAGCCCATTAACTTTGCACATTGATGATATAAAGTGAAAGTATGCATCAAGAAATATTAAAATAGATAAACACTCATTAGAAAGTGGGGTGCTGGGCTGAAATTCCAGTGATTTATTTCCTTTCTGAGATGATATATGCTATCCCTTCATGGAGAACATCAGGAAAGATAGAACTTTGACCTAGGGGAGCACCCAGAAGCCAAATGATATCACTATGTCACTGGTATTCTTTAAGATTTCCTAGAGGAGAAATATTTTGTTCAAGGGAAGAGGCAAATTTTGAAGTTCTGTGGGTGTGCTATGTATTACCAAATGGTTCTCCACCCTGTCACATCCCTACTATACCAGATCACAATTTTACTAGCAGTATGGAATGCCTACTTCATAACACCTTCTCCAACAATGACTATAGTAATTTAAAAATTTATTTGTTGGTGGGGGGAGAGGGGTATCTCCCACTGACTGGTTCCCTCCCCAAATGCCTGCAACAGCTGGGTATGGGCCAAAGCTGGGGGCCAGGGAGTCAATTCAGGTATCTCCAGGGAACCAGCTACATGGGCCACCACCTGCTGCCTCCTAGGGAATGCATTAGCAGGAAGCTGGAATTGGCAGTGCAGCCGGAACTCTATTCCAGGCACTCTGACAAGGGATGTAGGTGTCCCAAGTGGCATCTTCACCACCAGGCCAAGAACATACCTCGGCTACAGCAGCTTTAAAAGATTCACTGCCAGTTGACAGGCAAATATGGATCAATATTATTTCAATTAAGATTTCATTGACCAACAATGAGGTTAAACTCTTTTTTCTTATATAGCCTTTTTATTGTTACTTTTATGAATTGCCTAATCCTTCTTTTCCTTCTGGTATATAATTTTTTTTCTGGCATATAACTCTACTGGTGAGGATAATACTTACATATTAAGATATCAACCCCTTGTCTTATATACTGCAGAGAATGCAAGGATATAAACAAAAATATACTTTATATACAAAAAGTAAAATTTAGCATTGAAAATAAGTTCTGGCAAGTGGTTTCAAGAAAAGTTGTGAGAGTTCTTTCCTTCTCATGCTTCCTAAGAAGATATGCAGGCTGGCGCCACGGCTCACTAGGCTAATCCTCCGCCTTGCAGCACCGGCACACCGGGTTCTAGTCCCGGTCGGGGTGCCGGATTCTGTCCCGGTTGCCCCTCTTCCAGGCCAGCTCTCTGCTGTGGCCAGGGAGTGCAGTGGAGGATGGCCCAAGTACTTGGGCCCTGCACTCCATGGGAGACCAGGAGAAGTACCTGGCTCCTGCCATCGGATCAGCGTGGTGCGTTGGCCGCAGCGCGCTGGCCGCGGCGGCCATTGGAGGTGAACCAACGGCAAAGGAAGACCTTTCTCTCTGTCTTTCTCTCTCACTGTCCACTCTGCCTGTCAAAAAAAAAAAAAAAAAGAAGATATGCAAAGCACACATTTCCCAAATAGTTCCAAATCAGGCAATTCAAGGGTCTGAGTCAGTAAGATGGAGTCAAGGCCATTTCATAAGCCCCCTAAATCCTATAAACAAAACGAGGACTAATAGAAGGGTGAGGCATGAAGGGATTGATGCTATTATAAAGATAACATGGTAATTGCTGGGTTGATAGGTGGATAGATGTATGCTAAAGCAATTAGAGCAAAATGTTAATCATAGATTCTAGACGGTGGTGGACAAAACAGGTATATGATATTCACTGTATAGTTCTGTTACATATCTTTAGAAGTTTTCACAATAAAGCATTTGGGGAAAAAGATAAAGTTTACCTTCAACACGAATACATTTCCATGTTTGTGCAATCTGATTGGCTAATGTTGTCTTCCCAACTCCCTTTAAAAAGAGAATGACCATTTAAAACCCAGTAGTACAGTCATCTGACAGTGAAAGAGATATAGCAATTTTTAAAGATCCTGTTATAGTTACTATCATATCAATGTTACAACGTATTTTTCCTGTAAAAAATGAGGAATAGACTGCAGGCATTTACAGCTTTGTTTCTTCTACTAACCCTTGTATTGGCCACATTTCCGGAAGTGATTTAAATAAAATCTTTTAAATTAGGAAAATAGCTCTGAAATCAGGAAGCTAAAGCATTATGGAGGTAAACTCTTTCATTGTAAAATTTTGTGATTTTAATTACAAACCACTGCAATTCTATTGACATTCATCAACTTATTTCCCTAAAAAAATTTATAACAACAAATTTTTTGATGGCAGAACAAAATCCTTAACTGACATCTTTGGAAATTATATTTTTAAGATAAAAGGCCATTATTCATGAGGTAATATTTGCATCTGATTGCATTATAGTTGACTTCTCAAAATTCTATTATATTTATAGAAATAATAAAAGTTGTTGGAACTCTCTTTGTGCTTGTCCTAAGGTCCCTATAAAATTAAAGAAGAGATCCAGGAATCATCTCTGGTGCTCTGGAGAGGCTGTTTCATTAGCCAGCTCAGGGCCCTCTGACGCCAGCCATCAACTAGCCCACAGGCTGAAAATAGCACCATCTACAGGTCATTGCCAGAACTGTCCAGAAAGGCAAACTTCTCTGACAGCCATTTTTGGTTTCTTTCTGTTTTGTGGCAAGATGATATGTGGATCCTCTAACACACTGTACGTAAAGACCCAACATTGCCTCTTATTAGCTTCAGGTGTTAACATGACAAGCTCTCAACTTGTCTTGAGAGTGTCCTATCATCACAAATCTGGAAGTCTCACAACAATTTCAAAGAAAGTTGTAGAGGCAAATCCAGTGTGACATAACTTTAGATCACATACTGCTGACAATGATCATGGAGCAGTGTTTGGGTGAATTAATTTCCTCACATTTAAAAATGAACATAAATACATCCTAGGCTCCTCTTAAATTACAATGTATAAAAAAGTTATAAATTTATAATCAATATTATATCACATTTTAAGTTATACAATAAAAACCTGTCATACACTCTATTAGCATACTATATAGTTTTCATTTTTATATGCTAACTTATAAGATTATGGTTTAAAAACTAAATAAAATACTGAGTAATAGGCCAGAAGAGATGACTTACTGGTTTTCCAAATACAGCAAAGCAAACAGGTTTGGACAATAAAAAATTTCTTTCAATCTCATCTTCACTAAATATATCAGCAAAAGGATACTCTTCTGTCTTCTCTTGAGAAGTCATAATGCAAAATACTAGAAAAAGAAAGAGTAAGAATGTTAAAGAACCTAATTGGGTTGGAGTAGGCAGACTACAGAGAGCTGGAATAATGTGTGAATTCACATGGTCCGAAAGCTGCTCCATACCACTAAACACGTGGGTTTTTGTCAGAAATTGAAAATAAAATAAACTCATCTATTATAGTAGCAGTCTCTTAGTTTGAGACACAAACAGAAGTGCAACTACATGCTGTATAAAATAGAGCTCAAATACACTGTCCTGAGAAGATCAGATTAAGGAAAATAGTACATCCATATATGTATAAATACACATATGTCCTTATGCTTACATTAAGTGTATTATATATACATACATAGGAGTATATATATGTTTTGCCACAAACACAAAAGACAATACTAGCTAAGTTTATTAGATTCATATTTTTACATTTTAGGAAACTTTGGCTAATGTTTATAGGAACATATAATGCCTATCAGAATATATATTTATTTATTTTAAAAATTATTTATAGAAATGTTTTGTTATTTTGAGTATTAAATAGATTTCCAAGCACAGAGCCCCAATTTAAAACATTATAAGAACTAAGTTTTCCACTTACAATGGTTCTGTTGGATCAATCAGAAACAAAGTAGGTAGTAGTATTGAAAATTTGTTTTTACATAAAAGACCATTCTCGTCGTCAAGAACTTTTAAATTATTTACATATTTATACTCACAAAATATTTACATATAATCTAGAATATTTCTAATATGTAAATAGTAAAAATAACATAGGTCATAGCTCCCAACCATGATGAAATAACATTAAAAATAATTATAAAAGTACTTTTTAATTTAATTTATTTGAGAGGTAAAGTTACAGTGAGAGGGAGAGACAGAGAGAAAGGTCTTCCATCTGCTGGTTCACTTTCCAAATGGCAGCAACAGCCAGAGCTGAGCTGATCCGAAGCCAGGAGCCAAAAGTCAGGAGCTTCTTCTGGTTCTCCCATGTGGGTTCAGGGGCCCAAGGACTTGGGCCATCTTGTACTGCTTTCCCAGGCTATAGCAGACAGCTGTATCAGAAGAGAAGCATCTAGGACTAGAACTGGTGCCCCATGGGATGCCAGTGCTGCAGGCGGAGGATTAACCTACTGTGCTACAGTGCCAGCCCCATAAAAGTAATTTCAAAAATTCTAATTCTTGGGCTAGTACTGTGGTACGGTGGGTTAAAGCCTTGGCCTACAGCATTGGCATCCCATATGGGCACCAGTTCAAGTCCTGGCTTCAATTTCCGATCCAGCTCCCTGCTGATGCGCCTGGGAGAGCCGTGGAGAATGGCCCAAGTGCCTGGGTCCCTGGACTCATGTGGGAGACTCGGGAGAAGCTCCTGGCTTCTGGCTTTGGATCAGCTCAGCTCTGGCTGTTGCAGCCATCTGGGGAGTGAATCAGCAGATGGAAGATCTCTCTCTGTCTCTACCTCTCTCTGTAACTCTCTTTCAAATAAATAAAATAAATCGTTAAAAAAATTCTAATTCTTGAAAAGTAAAAAGAAATAATGTTTTTCCAAATATTATATCAAAGTAAAATTATAAAATATTAACAAATAATGATAATGTTATTATTTATTAGCACTCTTAAATACTATAATTAAGATGATATACATTTTTTTTAAAAAAAGTAATACTTTCCTTTTAGACTAGCAATAACAACAAAATCTCACAACTGTACAAAAACTATACAAGAAACAAATACATTTAGTAAGAAATGTGTACTAATTATAAAATCTTGCTGGGGCTGGTGCTGTGGCGCAGTGGGTTAACGCCCTGGCCTGAAGTGCCAGCATCCCATATGGGCACTGGTTCGAGACCCGGCTGCTCCACTTCCGGTCCAGCTCTCTGCTGTGGCCTGGGAAAGCAGAGAAAGATGGCCCGACTTGGGCCCCTGCACTCATGTGGCAGACCTGGAGGAAGTTCTTGGCACCTGGCTTTGGATAGGCTCAGCTCCAGCCGTTGTGGCCAATTGGTGAATGAACCATCAGATGGAAGACCTCTCTCTCTCTCTCTGCCTGTCCTCTCTCTGTGTAACTCTGACTTTCAAATAAAATAAATAAATCTTTAAAAAAATCTTGCTGATGGATATTAAAAAACCAATGAAGAACCATAATATGTTTCTATATGGAAAGATTGAATTTTGTCAAGATATCAACCATATTCAAATTAATACATATACTTAAATTATTATTATAATCTGATTATTTGTGTGTGTGTGACATAGTAAGGGGTGCCAGCCCTACCAAATACAAACACACCTATAATATTGTAAAATATAGTAGAGGATGAATCACTTAGGAAAACTGGCTATACATAAAGAACTCTCAAAACTCAACAGTAAAAAAAACAAAAAACAAAAATAAACAAACAAAAAACCCCATGATCCAATTAGAAAATAGGCCAAAGATCTGAAGAGACATTTCACCAAAGAAGCTATACAGATGACAAAGAAACACACAAAGAGATGTTACAGATCATTCGCCATTAGACAAATGAAAATCAAAACCACAATGAGATATCACTATACACTTATCAAAATGGCTAAAAAAAAAAACAAGGACAACACCAGACGCTGGTAAAGGTGCGGAGAAACTGGACCCCTCACATACAGCCAGCAGGAATCTAAAACGGCACAATAGTGTGGCAGTTTCTTAAAAAACCAAAACACACAATAACCATATGACCCAGCAACTGCACTCCTTGGCATTTATCACAGAGAACAGAGGATTTATGTCCACATAAGAATTTATACATGAATATTTATGGCAGCTTTACTCATAACAGTCCCCAAATGGAAATAATCCTGTTGTCCTTCTGCAGATGAAAACTTAAACTGGTCCATCTCTATGGAGTGTGACAGTAACAAAAACAAATGAATTATCAATACACACAACAATCTGGATCAACCTCTGAAGAGTTATGCAGAAGAATAACAAGAAAAAGTTAAGCCCCAAAGCTACATATTTTGTGATTTTTATAAGAGGCAAGTCCAAGATGGCAACATGCAAGACCCACAGAGATCTGTGACAACGGCTGATAAACTACGGCATTCCACAAATGAGCAGCCGAGACAGTGAAAAGAACAAAGAGCAAATGACGCAAAAGCTGATGTCAGCCATCACCGAGGGAAATCACGATTCCTTGCTCAGTTTTCAGGTCCAGAGCCCGTGTACTACAGAGGGGTTTAGGAGCCCTGAAGAATGATCTTACATCCCTGCAAGTATTTACAATCGTGATCTCCCAGTCCTGTTCCAGGAGAACCTACAACCACTCACAGGAGAAATGCACAGTATGGAAACTGGAATATCCTCCTCTTTAAAGGCTGTTGGACACAGGGTCTGAGCTGACACCACTGCCTGGAGATCCCAAAATGCCATCATGCTCCCCTGTGACAGTGAGGAGAAATAGAGAGCCAGTAATACATGGAGTCTTGCTTAAGTCTGCCTTACACCACGTACAGTGGGTCTGTGGGATCATCCCAGGGTTAATTTCCTGGTCCTTGAGTGCATAACTGGGACAGCAGATGGCAAAACCTTCACAGTGGTTCCCTGTCTAGGGAGTTAGATGTCAGTGTGGTAGAAGAGACCAAGGGGCTGGCACTGTGGCACAGAGGGTTAACACCCTGGCCTGAAGTGCCTGCATCCCATATGGGCGCTGGTTCGAGACCTGGCTGCTCCATTTCCAATCCAGCTCTCTGCTATGGCCTGGGAAAGTAGTACAAGATGGCCCAAGTCCTTGGGCCCCTGCACCCGCGTGGGTGGCCTGGAAGAAGCTCCTGGCTCCTGGCTTTGGATTGGTGCAACTCCAGCCATTGTGGCCAATTGGGGAATGAACCATCAGATGCAAGACCTCTCTTTCTCTCTGACTCTCCTCTCTCTATGTAACTCTGACTTACAAATAAATAAATCTTTTTTTTTAAAAAAAAAAGAAGAGACCAAGTGGAAGCTCATGAAACCTGTGGGCAAGATAAACCATAGTAAATCACCGTGGATGAAGAGTGTTACTCGAAATTATTTAAAAGATGCATGGTCCTGCTTAGTTCTCCAGCCTGGCTTGTGCAAAAGACAGAGAGAAAGAGAGTGAAAGGGGACAACAGATGAGGGCAGCCCACTGTAAATCTAACTAAGGTCAGCCCAACTGCAACTGCTGCGCAGATGCGATCTTTACCAGATCAGCACAGCCTCTTGTACTTGGAATGTCAAGTCTGATGTGGCAGATGCATGCCTTCATTTCGATCCCCACCGAGAAAGAGGATCTGAGCAGTCTGTATTCTCTTAGAAGGCTCAGCAGTGCACATTCAGTCACACTGAGGACTCTCCTGCTCGCTGTGACATTACAGTGCAGAGGTGGCTTGCTGATACACAATACTGACAATATCAGAGCTGGTGAGCAGGCAGTGGCAAGCATTCTGGACGCCCTCAGGAGCACACGAGCAGAACAAAGTGGGAGGTGATCCTTGCTGCTTTGGTGAAATTTTAAAGGGCCAGTGACATCTGGAGACATTCTCATAAGGTAAAGGATAAGTTATTGCACCTTACACCTTCTCCCTTTAAAAAAGAGAGGCACAGTATTTTGTAGGTCTATTTTGTTTTTGGAGACAGCATGAAAAGCATACTTGAAAATGCTGTTCTGGGGCCAGTGACGTGGCGCAGTAGGTTAATCCTCCACCTGCGGTGCTGGCATCCCATATGGGCGCCTGTTCTAATACTGGCTGCTCCTCCTCCAGTCCAGCTCTCTGCTATGGCCTGGGAAAGCAGTAGAGGATGCCCCAAGTACTTGGGCCCCTGCACCCGCATGAGAAATGGGAAGAAGCACCTGGCTCCTGGCTTCGGATTGGCGTAGCTCTGGCCATCGCGGCCATTTGGAGAGTGAACCGATGGTCAGAAGACCTTTCTGTCTCTCCCTCTCACTGTCTGTAACTCTACTTCTCAAATAAATAAAATCTTAAAAAAAAGAAAATGCTGTTCTGACCCATTAACAGGTAACTAGAAAAGCTCTGTTTTGTGGTGCAGTCAAAGCAAGAGGAAGCTCTCTAACACTTCCAAGCTACGGCAGCAGGGGCTTTGCTTCCTGGGCCATCCACCTGGCCAGATCTCACGATGCTATAGGTATGCGATGTATGTTATGGAGTTAGAGGAAAGCCACAGCCGGAAGCTCTCTGTGTAGCTCCTTGCAGTCTGCAGCAGAGAGCTATTCTCCAAAGAGCAGCTCTTGGCATGCTCCTGGCTCTGGTAGAGAATGGATTTCTGGGAATAGGCTACGAAGGAACTGCACAATTCACCTGCCCATCATGAGCTGGGTGTGTCAGACAGACCAAGTCCTAAAGTTGGGTAGGCGGAGCAGCAATCCAGGGAATGGTCAAAATAAAACATTGGGTTCAGCATTCCTCAATATAATCAAAGCAATTTATAAAAAACCCACAGCCAGCATCCTATTGAATGGGGAAAAGTTGGAAGCATTTCCACTGAAATCTGGCACCAGGCAGGGATGCCCACTCTCACCACTGCTATTTAACATAGTTCTGGAAGTTTTAGCCAGAGCCATCAGACAAGAAAAAGAAATCAAAGGAATACAAATCAAGAAGGAAGAAGTCAAACTATCCCTCTTTGCAGACGATATGATTCTGTATTTAGAGGATCCAAAGAACTCTACTAAGAGACTATTGGAACTCATAGAGGAGTTTGGCAAAGTGGCAGGATATAAAATCAATGCACAAAAATCAACAGCCTTTGTATACACAAGCAATGCCATGACTGAGAAAGAACTGCTAAGATCAATCCCATTCACAATAGCTACAAAAACAATCAAATACCTTGGAATAAACTTAACCAAGGACGTTAAAGATCTCTACGATGAAAATTACAAAACCTTAAAGAAAGAAATAGAAGAGGATACCAAGAAATGGAAAAATCTTCCATGCTCATGGATTGGAAGAATCAATATCATCAAAATGTCCATTCTCCCAAAAGCAATTTATAGATTCAATGCAATCCCAATCAAGATACCAAAGACATTCTTCGCAGATCTAGAAAAAATGATGCTGAAATTCATATGGAGGCACAAGAGACCTCGAATAGCTAAAGCAATCTTGTACAACAAAAACAAAGCCGGAGGCATCACAATACCAGACTTCAGGACATACTACAGGGCAGTTGTAATCAAAACAGCATGGTACTGGTACAGAAACAGATGGATAGACCAATGGAACAGAATTGAAACACCAGAAATCAATCCAAACATCTACAGCCAACTTATATTTGATCAAGGATCTAAAACTAATTCCTGGAGCAAGGACAGTCTATTCAATAAATGGTGCTGGGAAAACTGGATTTCCATGTGCAGAAGCATGAAGCAAGACCCCTACCTTACACCTTACACAAAAATCCACTCAACGTGGATTAAAGACCTAAATCTACGTCCTGACACCATTAAGTTATTAGAGAACATTGGAGAAACCCTTCAAGATATTGGCACAGGCAAAGAATTTCTGGAAAAGACCCGGGAGGCACAGGCAGTCAAAGCCAAAATCAACTATTGGGATTGCATCAAATTGAGAAGTTTCTGTACTGCAAAAGAAACAGTCAGGAGAGTGAAGAGACAACCGACAGAATGGGAAAAAATATTTGCAAACTATGCAACAGATAAAGGGTTAATAACCAGAATCTACAAAGAGATCAAGAAACTCCACAAAAACAAAACCAACAACCCACTTAAGAGATGGGCCAAGGACTTCAATAGACATTTTTCAAAAGAGGAAATCCAAATGGCCAACAGGCACATGAAAAAATGTTCAAGGTCACTAGCAATCAGGGAAATGCAAATCAAAAGCACAATGAGGTTTCACCTCACCCCGGTTAGAATGGCTCACATTCAGAAATCTACCAACAACAGATGCTGGCGAGGATGTGGGGAAAAAGGGACACTAACCCACTGTTGGTGGGAATGCAAACTGGTCAAGCCACTATGGAAATCAGTCTGGAGATTCCTCAGAAACCTGAATATAACCCTACCGCTCGACCCAGCCATCCCACTCCTTGGAATTTACCCAAAGGAGTTTAAATTGATAAACAAAAAAGCGGTCTGCACCCTAATGTTTATTGCAGCACAATTCACAATAGCCAAGACCTGGAACCAACCTAAATGCCCATCAATGGTAGACTGGATAAAGAAATTATGGGATATGTATTCTTTAGAATACTATACCACAGTAAGAAACAACGAAATCCAGTCATTTGCAACAAAATGGAGGAATCTGGAACACATCATGCTGAGTGAAGTAAGCCAGTCCCAAAGGGACAAATACCATATGTTCTCCCTGATCGGTGACAACTGACTGAACACCAAAAAGGAAACCTCCTGAAGTGAAATGGACACTATGAGAAATGGTGACTTGATCAGCATAGCCCTGACTGTTAATGGACAACTTAATACATTATCCCTCTTAGTATTTTTTTTTTGTCTGTTCTACTTAATATGACTGGTTTAATTCTGTAATTATCACACAGTTATTCTTAAGTGTTGAAAATTAACTGAAATGTGATCCCTGTTAAACATAAGAGTGGGAATAAGAGAGGGAAGAGATGTATAATTTGGGGCATGCTCGGGCTGACTTGCCCCAATTGGTAGAGTTGGAAACATACCAGGGGATTCCAATTCAATCCCATCAAGGTGGCATGTGCCAATGCCATCTCACTATTCCAAGTGATCAATTTCAGTTCACAATTGATCATAATGAAAGGACTAAGAGTCAAAGGGAGCACATAAACAAGTCTAGTATCTGCTAACACCAACCGATAGAATAAATAAAGGGGAGAGTGATCCAACATGGGAAGTGAGATAGTCAGCAGACTCATAGAATGGCGGATGTCCTAAATAGCACTCTGGCCTCAGAATCAGCCCTAAAGGCACTCGGATCTGGCTGAAAAGCCCATAAGAGTATTTCAGGCATGGAAAGCCAAGACACTCTGGCAAAAAGATCTCTGTGAGTGAGATCCCAGTGGAAAGAACAGGGTCTTCAAAGAGGGAGGTGCCTTTCTCTGAAGGGAGGAGAGAACCTCTACTTTGACTATGACCTTGTCTAAACAAGATAAGAGTCGGAGAACTCAAGGGGCTTCCATAGCCTTGGAAACTCATGACTGGTGCATAGGGAGATTACTAATGCCATAAACAGGAGTGTCAATTTGTAAAGTCAACAACAGGAGTCACTGTGCACTTACTCCTCATGTAGGATCTCTGTCCTTAATGTGCTGTACACTGAGGCTTAATGCTATAACGAGTACTCAAACAGTATATTTCACTTTGTGTTTCTATGGGGGTGCAAACGATTGAAATCTTTACTTAATGTACACTAAACTGATCTTCTGTAAAAAAAAAAAAAGAAATTATCAATTCCCAACTTGACTCTCACTGGGATTAAACATGACAATAGGTCTGATCTGATTTCATCATCATTTAAAAAAAAATCATCTATTATTTTTCACTTTATGTTTCTTTGTGGGAGCAAACTGTTGAAATCCTTACTTAAGGTATACTAAGCTGATCTTCTGTATATTAAGATAATCGAAAATGAATCTTGATGTGAATGGAAGGGGAGAGGGAGTGGGAAAGGGGAGGGTTGTGGGTGGGAGGGACGGTATGGGGGGGGAAGCCATTGTAACCCATGAGTCGTACTTTGGAAATTTATATTCATTAAATAAAAGATAAAAAAAAAAAAAAAAAAACATTGGGTTCAGGCCCAAGATGGTTTCCAGGACACAAATAAGTTTCATAAAAAGCAGCCCTGACCCCTTATCACCTGTCTCACGTACCACTGGCTCTCTTTCAGCTCACACCTCATGCCCAGTTCCTTGGGAACAGCTGACACAAAATGACAAAGTTTCACGGAGAATGATGTTACGTTGGTGCAGGCTATGAATGGAACGTGTCCAGACTCTAGTGTAGCTCACAGGGGGCCCTGAACGGTGGCTGCTGGAGGGACTCCTCCTGGCAGGCAGAGCTTTCAAGCAGTACTCTTGATCCTCAGTTTGAAGGACCATGCAGAGTGGCTTCGTCAAAGGCCTCAAAGAAGTCAGATGAGAAGAGAAAAAGAGTTCAGGGGAAGAAATGTGTGACTGGACTTAGAGTTTGGCAAACACACTCTTAGCACTCCTCCAATGGGTCACACGCTTGTAGAATCCCCTTCCCTTGAGAGCAGGTGGATCTGCGCCTTGCTTCTAAAGACAGCAAAGGCCTAGGAATATCATGCCGAGCATGCGGTGTGGTAGGAGACTCCAACTTAGTAGACTGGAGGGAAACTTCTTGTTGGCTTGGGAAGCAAGCTGCCATGTTGTGAAAGGACCACATAGTAAGGGGACAGGGGGTGGCTTTCAGGACTGAGAGCAGCCACTGGCCGAGAGCCAGTAAGAAAACAGGGACCTCAGACCCACAGCACAAACAGGTGACTTTAGGCAGCAAAGTGAGTGAGCTTGGGAGGGCCTTCTTCCTGAGCTGAGTGTCCAGATGAAAACAGAGCTTGGCCAGCAGCTGACTGCTGCCTCATGAAGACCCTGAATGGAGGAGGGCCCTGCTGAGCGACCCCAGGACTCCTGCCCACTGAAACTATGAGGTCATGAATGTGTGTTTTAAGCCACTAAATTTGTTATGCAGTATAGAAAACTGACACAAACTGGGCACAAAATCTGTAGATCTCAGAAGAGGCACTGAACAATATGATGGCAGGATGATTCCCTGGTAGATGCCAGTCATTCTTTGACCTTGGTCTTGGTGCTTGCATAATGGGCTCCTAAACAGGCAGCAGGGACGGAGGCAACGGAGGCTGTGCACAGGCTCAACAATGGGCTCCCTCTCACCAAACTGATCTAGCTACTCGTGCTGCCGACTGCTGCAGTACCTGCAGCCAACACAGGGGACAATCCCTTGGAAGGGACAGAACATCCACTCAATGACTTAGGACATAGGACCCTTCATCTTAGGAGGGGCACACAACATGTCTACCTGGTATAGGTTTGCCTTCCCTACCCACAGGGCCTGGGCCATTGCTGCTATCTTAGAGCTTTGTGTCTCATTGACTATCGTGGGATCTCATATAATATCGTCTTGGAGGAAAGCACTTGCTTTATAGAAAAGGAGAAGTGAGAAAGAGGCAGGTGAACATGGCATCCACAAATGCTGCTACATGCCACCTCATCCGGAAGCTGCTGGTCTGACCATATTGGAATCATCTCTTAAAGGAATAGTCAGTGCACTAGCTTGGGACGGTGTGAAGAGTACACTTGGCACCAAGTATAGTCCTTCCAAGGTGAGGAACGTCCTTCGAACCAAGGACTGAAAGTACGAGGGGCCTCTCACGCCATCACTCTCAATGACTGACTGACAGATATGCCGTCTGCTTTCCTCACAGCGCAGGCTCTGCTAGACTGGAGGTACTGGGCTTGGTGGAGAGCAGAGCCGCTTCTATCAGGGGACCCAGTAAAGGTTTCCCTAAACCTACATCTACTGCTGCCTCCCAGTCATTTCTGGCTCCACAAGCCCATGAGGAGGAATTGCACTGGCAGGCGGAGACAGGCTTGCTGCTGCACGACTGGATGAGGACTGTATATCAGCAACTCAGGGGCTTCTCAGAGACATCTCTTGATTGCTTTCAGAACGGCGAATGGGTAATCGCAGCCACCAAGGCCTGGCAAGGCCACAGGAACCAGGGTAACACAGTAACGTCCCTTAGGGATGAGAGCTGGTTAACCTACTGGGCAAGCAACTTATACTAGGGGAAATGGTGGTCAAGGGTAGGAAAACCTAGAATGGGCTACAGTTACTTGCAGTAGCAGATTCTGCAGTTTGTCGCATTAATCTTCATTTTGTAAGTCTTTCTTTTTTAGAAAGTGGGACTAGCCACTATCTTAAAGAACCAGAGATGGTTTCCGTTATGAAATAGAACAGAGTTAAATACTCGTCTTTCAAAGACCCAAGTCAAAGCAAAATGCCATAACCGACATGGCCATATTCTATTTCTTACTAAGCCATTAAAGAAAATTTCGATAATAAGCAAAATTTCTTTTTTAAATGTTGTAATTTCTCAACTCTGAATTTACAATCCAACTGCTAGTATCACTTCATGCTAAGCGTCTGTGCTACGATACCACACTTTCTTAAAAGTTTCAGCCCGCTACTAGCCGTTGGGAAACCTTCTCAGGGCGGACTCGGATCCACACAGGTCTTGTGTGCATCTCCTGGGAAACCCAGCCCTTCTGCCTGGGCTAGGTTAGCCGCCCCTCCAGGACAGCGGAAAACACCCCTGGCCGGTCAAATACGGGAGTCGTTCAAAGGAAAAGTGGTTTTAAAGAAGCAGATTTACGAAGAGTCCTTGAGGTTTCGTTTTGCGAGACAAAAACTGGCCTGGGGTCCCAGCAGGAGGTGAGGTTCCAAGCCACCGATACCAAACTGCCCCCGCGCGGCGGACATGGAGCCCCTGGAGGAAGACTGCTTACCTGCGGACGCTCCCGGAGCTGTTGAGCGGTTGCCCGGGAAACCCCGCGCGGCGCCGCGCAGGGCATCTCGGGGCGGGGCCTCGGGGCGGGCCTCGGGGCGGGGCCTCGGGGCGGGGCTGGAATTCCGCGGCTTCTTTTCTCACCCTCCACGTTTGCGTTTGAGTGTCATTTTGGATTGACCATTACGACGCGCGCCTTTCCACACGTGTGGAAGGGGATAATCAGAGAAGGCACAGACAGTGCCAAGCGGCCCGACCCCGAAGCCGGGGCTTGCGGTTGACACGCGGTTAGCCGCAGGCCTTGCTCTGAGGCAAAGCCGAAAGCTTGGACTTTGGGGGTGATTTTTTCTTAATTCCCTGCACCACACAGCCATTACACAACAGGGATTTTGCTGACTCTCTTAAGGATAAAATAGCTAACAGAGGAAAACCACCGATCCTCGCTGAAGGGTCTGCCAAGAGCCGGTTTCCAGGAAAAAAAGGGCGGAAGTAGGGGGAAAAAATCAGGCCAGTTTGGGAATGGATCTATCAGAGAACTCCCTTCAGAAAATCGCACATCTTCGCCGCCCTTTTCCAAACAGGGGGCGCAGATACACAAGAAACTTCGAATCTGGCCACTTTATCTCCGCCCACATTCCCTCTTGCCCGCACCAAAGATGGCGCCCACAGCTTCTCATTTTAGCAGCACGCAGGTCCTGAGAGCCTCTAGACGGCCTCTCCACGGTACGTCCTCCAGTCCCGCCCCCATCACGACTGGGGCGGGGCTTGCCTGGAGGCGGGTCTCAGGAATCCGGAAACACCTGAACTGCAGGCGGTCATTATAGCTGTAGCGCCCAGGCGGTGTTGTTTCCCACAGGACCTGGGATTCCGGCTCTGAGGTGTCCTCTCGCCGCGTCCCCGGGGCAGTCCGTCGGCTGCCACAAGCTGAGCCGCGGCCTGGTGCCCTGTTGCGGGGCCCTCATCGGCTCGGGCCATGCCCACAGCCGCCGCCCCCATCATCAGCTCAGTCCAGAAGCTGGTTCTGTATGAGACCAGAGCCGTGAGTACCTGGCGCGGCGGGACGCGGGCTGGAGGAAGGCGGGAGCGGGGTCCTGGGGCGGGGTCTTCCCCTGCCCTGCCCAGTTCTGGGGCGGGAGCCCTGGGCCGTGCGCGGGGGTCTGCACCCTGTGTTTGCACCCAGGCCGCTGCTGCATTTGCAAGTATTTGGCAAGTGCAAATATTTACACGTTGGAGCCTTGGCCGGGACGCGCTGGAAGCAGGTGCCTGCGGGACCTCAGGAGCAGTTGCCGAGGTTCCGTGGGAGTCACTGGGCTCTTTTCAGCGTTCAGAAAGTCTGTTGAAGTTCTGGGGTTCATGGTTCCACACGTTACACGCGGGAGTATGGGGAAAAAAAACTTGACCAATGGCTCCGTCACTTTCCTGTTCCTATTTCGTCGATGTTGTGATTGATGTTCATCACGTGGACTTTGCTGAATTTTCTGGTTCTCCTTCCCCCTACCCCCGCACTAACTTAAAAGGAAAGAAAAACTTACTTTATTTAAAGATGGTTAGTTTATATGGGTAACATTAGCTTGCTTTTTTTTTTTTAAAGATTTTATTTATTTATTTGAGAGGTAGAATTACAGATAGAGGGAGAAACAGAGAGAGAGAGGTGTTCCATCCGCTAGTTCACTCCCCAAATGGCCACAACCACTGGAGCTGAGCTGAGCTGATCTGGAGCCAGGAGCTTATTCAGGGCCTCCCAAGTGGGTGCAGGGGCCCAAGGACTTGGGCCATCTTCTACTGCTTTCCCAGGCCATAGCAAAGAGCTGGATTGAAAGAGCGGCAGCCGGGACTAGAACTGGCGTCCATATGGGATGCCAGCACAGCAGGTGGATGATTAACCTGCTGCGCCACAGCACTGGCCCCATAGCTTGCTTTTCACTTTACATTTTTTCTTTTTTTTAAACAAGATTTATTTATTTTTAAAATTTTAAAAATTTATTTATTTATTTGACAGGTAGAGTTATAGACTGAGAGAGAGAGACAGAGAGAAAGGTCTTCCTTCCATTGGTTCACTCCCCAAGTGGCCGCTACGGCCGGCTCTGCACTGATCTGAAGCCAGAAGCCAGGTCTCCCATGCGGGTGCAGGGCCCAAGGACCTGGGCCATCCTCCACTGCCTTCCCCGGCCACAGCAGAGAGCTGGACTGGAAGAGGAGCAACCAGGACTAGAACCTGGCGCCCATATAGGATGCTGGCGCCACAGGCAGAGGATTAACCAAGTGAGCCACGGCACTGGCCCCCACTTTACATTGTTTCAACATGTTTTATTTTAAAACTTCTGTTACTTCAAAATGTTACTTGAATGGCTTCATAAATAGTGAATAAGCACATGGATTCCTAGTTCTCTGATTTGGGGAATGCTGTTGAAAGAACTACATACTTTCTGTGATCTCTTTTTGTTTTTTAAATATTTATTTATTTATTTGAAAGGCAGCGTCATAGAGAGGCAGAGGCAGAGGCAGGGAGAGAGAGAGAGAGAGAGGTCTTCCATCTGCTGGTTCACTCCCCAAACGGCTGCAACGGCTGGAGCTGAGCTGATTCGGAGTGAGGAACCAGGAGGTTCTGGGTCTCCCTCGCAGGTGCAGGGGCCCAAGGACTTGGGCCATCTTCTACTGCTTTCCTAGGCCTTAGCAGAGAGCTGGAGCGAAAGTAGAGCAGCTGGGACTCGAACCAGCACCCATATGGGATGCCAGCACTGCAGGTGGCAGCTTTACCTGTTACACCACAGTGCCAGTTCTATGTTTAAGGCTACTTGCCTCATGGTAATATGACCACAAAGGCTGGGTTCTTGCTTAATACTTTCTACAGGGCTAGAAAGTGTCTTCAGGGGGACATGGAGGGGACAGGTTGTCTCCCATAGAGGTAAACCACACAGTACCTGTCTGAAGTGTCTCAGTTCCAGTGCATTCCTAATAGCCCGTCTTCCTCAGTCATCATGAACATGCAACCCTTGTGGATGCTAAGTGAGCTTTGCTGACAACCTCACTGGGTTAGATCCCGACCAGAACACGAAAGGATCTCATGGTCTGTATTCGTAAGGCTGTGCCTTTCTCTGAAGAGAGTCCTGCAGGTTTATCATGTTGTCCTTGCAATGAAATCTTCCCACTTTCTATAAAATGTGCTGGTAAGCATCCTTGGTTCTAAATAAAGTACAGAAGTTTCAGCCCGATCAGAAGCCACACGCGTGAGGCCTGGCTGAGACGCTAGTGTTCTTTCTAAAGCGCCGTCACGGTACAGGGATCTCCTCAGCCATCTGTGTGGCCCCCATGCTGAAGAGAGGACGCTCAGAACCCCTCAGTCTGGCACTCAGAGACATATCTGGTGCACCCTCAACTTACCGTCTAGTCTTACATCTCCTTTGGTGTCAATTCGGCGGACGTGTATTGAAGGTCAGCACTGTGCCTTGTTTGGCAGTGAGCTGCATTGCTTTCAGTTCCCCATATGTACTCAGTGTTTTTCTGCTGTTCTCTTCCTGTAATGTCTGACTCAGTTAAAACCATGCTGGTACTCACAGGGCAGAGCTGGCAAATGCCTTTGCAAATGTTAGGCTCTCAATAGACACTGGTTAAGGGCACCTAAGGCAAAGAGATGTGCACTGTGAAACTCTGGAAACTGAAGCTCACTCTGGCCAGCTAGGAGATCGAAAGGACGTTTATCAGAAGGATGTTTGGAGAGCCACTGAATGGAATCCTTGGGGGATCCTGTCTCCCCAGCTTCTGGAAAAGCAGGAACAAGATGGCAGGATGGAGAGCCCTCCCTGAGTGCTGCCACAAACATAGGGCAGGTACTGGGAGTGAGAACCTGATTGGCTCAGGTGTGCTTGGGCACCTGCACCTGGCTACAGGACACCTGGCAGTGGGCTGTGGACACACCCTTCCCTTACAGGGACTGTTGGGGGCCAGGCACCCACCCTGCCAAATGTCTAGTGCGTTGGTTCTCTGAACCACGGTTTCCTTATCAGTTAAGTAGGTGATTCTTCTTGTTGATACTTATCTTAAAAAGCTATGAACAGCTGGCGCCGTGGCTCACTAGGCTAATCCTCCGCCTTGTGGCGCTGGCACACCGGGTTCTAGTCCCGGTCGGGGCGCTGGATTCTGTCCCCGTTGCCCCTCTTCCAAGCCGGCTCTCTGCTGTGGCCAGGGAGTGCAGTGGAGGATGGCCCAAGTACTTGGGCCCTGCACCCCATGGGAGACCAGGATAAGTACCTGGCTCCTGCCATCGGATCAGCGCAGTGCGCTGGCTGCAGCGTGCCGGCCGTGGCGGCCATTGGAGGGTGAACCAACGGCAAAGGAAGACCTTTCTCTCTGTCTCTCTCTCCCACTGTCCACTCTGCCTGTCAAAAAAAAAAAAAAAAAAGCTATAAACAGGGGCTGACACTGTGACATAGTAAAGGTTATACCTCCACCTGTAGTGTCAGCATCCCATATAGGTACCAGTTCGTGTCTTGGCTGCTTCACTTCTGATCCAGCTCTCTCCTATGGCCTGAGAAAGCAGTAGAAGATGGCCCAAGTGCTTGGGCCCCTGCACTTACATGGGATACCCAGAAGAAGCTCCTGGCTCCTGGCTCCTGCTTCACATTAGCTCAGCTCCAGCTGTTGAGGCCATCTGGGGAGTGAACCAGCAGGTGGAAGACCTCTCTTTCTGTGTCTCCCTCTCTCTGTGTAACTCTACCTCTCAAGTAAATAAATAAATCTTTTTTTTAAAAAAAGCAATAAACACAAAGACTTTTTGAGTAGTAATCTCAAAGTTTAAGGAATACAAATAACTCAGGAAAAGATATAAAATTGCTGGCAATGAAATAAATCCTAGCAGTTAAAAAAGATCTGAAGTATGTTGTATCGTGAGAATAATAGCTAATGTTTCAGAGTATTCAGTCAGGCACTGTTCAAAGGATTCTACAGATATTTTATTTTATTTTATTTATTTTTACTGTGATGCCCCCATACTTTG